GGCGGCAAAGGCCCCTGATTCTCCAATCATGGCTGGGGGGCAGGGCAAAGGCTGATGCTCTATCCACTGAGCCAGACTGGCTAGGGCAGGTCATTATCACTCTCCCAACTCCAGTTAGTTCCAGAGGAGCTAGCCAGTCTTGGCAGGACTGTGGGGACCGGCGAGTGGGAGCGGGTGGCTTTGATTTGGTGCAGATGCCGAGGCCTGGCGCCTGGAGGCACGTGCTGCTGGGCAGGCAGTGGTCCTCTAGCTGGAGCTGCAGGGACCTGGAGCCCTGAGCACAGAAGGGCAGCGGAGTGACGCTGAGGATCAAGTTCGCACTTGTGCATTGCGTTACCTGTGAGCAATTCTAGACGTTATGCTGCAGAGAATTAATGGTCATGCATGAGATGATTTTGCCTAAGGGGGCTTTTATGCTGCAACAAAAACGAGCTCATGGCCACAGCTATACCGGTTTTAAGCTGAGCTGGTGTCCTGAAGAGGGAAACCAGAGACAGTCCCCCTGCTCTGTGGGTACACAGAAGGCAAGGAAGCCTTGAAGAGCGACCCGAGGATGGCCGTGTCCTTACGAGGCTTTCTAGAGGCCTCTGCTGCGGGCCCCATGGCCGTTTGGTTTGGTCATTGTTGGCGAGGGCGGCAGATCTGAAGAATGTCCCCTCCCACCTGCCCAGCCCCAGGTCAGCCTGACCGGCTCAGACTCCAGGGTGCGGCCCAGCGGGTGGAGCTGAGGGAAGATGCCTAGAATGTCTGCCTCGCCTCCCGGTGACAGGCCACTGCTGTGATGGGTGACGGAGGCATTCTTGGCCTCTGGTTTGGTCTTCGCTCCTCTGTTAGGATACCAGCCTGAATCACCACCTCTCTCACTACAGAGATAAACATTCTCCATTCCATCCCTTTCTCCCCTCCCCCTTTTTACTCCTCACAAAACTGAGTTCTGAAATATGGCTCCTCAGTATTCACACATGAACAGTCACCACCTGAGGGACAGAGCTTGAGGAACCCTCAGAGGACCCTCGGCCCTAAGCCAGTGCCCATCCACACTGCTCAGAGGAGATCCCCAGCTCCCCGGGATGTTGACCTGCAAACCCCATCTTTATGCGCCGCCTGGGGTGTTGCAGGATTCAGGCCCAGTGCCTCTCCGTTTCCAGGGATACGGTAGCCAAGGGCAGGGCTCCAGGCCCGGGCTCCATGTGAGGTCCCCGCCCAGGGAGCAGGGCTGGCTGCAGGGTATTCATGACTGGGCCCTGAGAGATATCCTGTGACCCCAGACCACTTCCACCTGGCCCCTTCCAACAGGACCCCCAAACCTCAGGGAGACCCTGAGTTCCTGAGTCGCAGGACTGTCTTCCTGCCCACCTCGCCTGTCACCTTTCCAAACTTCTAGAAGAGTCAGGCAGGAGCTACTGCCATTGGAAATCTTGTAGCTGGACACGGGGCTCCCAGATCAGTGACTGCCACAGCAAGTTGTGACACTAAAGAGGAATAAATACGGGAGATTCATGAAGCCTGGGGGACTAAAGTAGATAAGGAATACAGAAGTTATGGTTAGAGGTGCCTATTATGGTTTGGGTTCATGCCTGGCCTGTTAATTTTATGGGGCAACTCTTAATATTGAGTAAAACAATTTAATTAGAAAAGTAATTGACTTCTGCACTTCACGCTGGTAAAATGTTTTCATTTGCTTACTAGAAAAGCTTGTGAAAATGATGTTAGGTTGCTTTGAAAATTAAATAACTTTTTATAAAAACCTGAGTGGTAGAAAAATGAGATAATGGTTAACTGAAGGGTAGCCTCTTTGAGTGTAAGCATTTAAGTAAGCATTTGTTTCAGACTTCTTTTAAAATTTCACATTTTTCCTGGTAATATTTAGTAAAATATGCCAACTATCCTTGATGACTTAGGATCAGGTATTGGACCTTAGACCAGTGGTTCTCAACCTTCTGGCCCTTTAAATACAGTTCCTCATGTTGTGACCCAACCATAAAATTATTTTCGTTGCTACTTCATAACTGTAATGTTGCTACTGTTATGAATCGTCATGTAAATATCTGATATGCAGGATGGTCTTAGGCGACCCCTGTGAAAGGGTCGTTCGACCATCAAAGGGGTTGCAACGCACAGGTTGAGAACCGCTGCCTTAGACAGCGTGTGCAGAAGTTGGTGGGTCTTCACAGCCCCTCCCGTTAGAGAACATACCTGGGACTGGTTTAGAGAAGGAAATCCTATGTCGTTCGTCCACCGCCCACCCAGCCATCTGTCTGTCTGTCTGTCTGTCTGTCTGTGTAGTTGCCTTTTCATCTTTCTCATAGCAGTGAAGTAAGAACGTTTGATTATGTAACCTCCTGAACGGGGTAACGGAGAAGCCATCCATGAAATTAACTAGGGAGCAACCTGGAAAGCAGCCCTCTTGGAAGCGACTTTTTATTCTCAGGAAAAGCATGTGTTTCTGTCTTTCACTTGCACTTCTCCCCATTACTCAAGGGGACTCTGTGAAGTTATCTTTGTTACTTTGAAGCTTTCTGGGTCGCCAGCCTTTACAGCCCCTGAAAATGCAGCAACAACGTGGCACCTCCCACCTTCCTCCCTGGTCCGTTTCCCAGGGTGGCCAGTGGGAAGTCTCCTCCAGGAACTGTTGAGATATCGCTGCCAAACACCATGAAATACAAGTACAACCCGAGCACCACAACGTGCAGGAAACCTAGTTTTCTAACTTGGTTCCCCGTCCCACTGAGGTGCTGGATGAAGATGCCCGAGTTCCGAGGATCCACTGGTAGATTTCCGTGTGAAATGGTGATTTCCACCTGGACTGGTGTCCGCGGGCGTCTGAAGCCCCGAAAGGCCCCTGCCCAGTGTTTTGTGTTTTCACGTGTTCTCCTGCAGAGGGGGCTCGTGGCTTCCTTTCGGTTCTCAGAAGAGCCCAGGAAAGGTGTGCGCTTGGCTGCCCAGGCCCTGCCCTGCAGGCACAGACTCCGGCTGTTGTCTCAGGTTTGGGGCTGCTAGAGTTCAGCCAGCTCCCTCTCTAAAGTCACCTTTTACAATTTTTAAAAGAGTCCCGTAATAGCACTTGACAAAATCTAACACCCTGATGTCGGGGATTTGTTTCAAAATAATGGAAACTAGTGGTAGGAATGGGTGAATCAAACAAGATTGGTCCTGTTTTGATCATTGTAATGGTTGAGTCCTGGATACATGGGGCTTATTATTCTATTCTTTCTACTTTATAGCTTACATAATATAAAAAGATAAAATTGCCTGACATAAAACTTGTGTGGTCACATCCATTGGGTGGCTAATATCAAAACCCAGAAAATGACAAGTGTTGGTGAGGCTGCAGAGAAATTGGGACCCTGTGCTCTGCTGGTGAGAATGTGAAAATGGCGCAGCCGCTGTGGGAAACAACATTGGCGGTTCCTCAAAGAATTAAAACCAGAATTACCGAATGACCCAGCAATCCCGCTTCTGGGTGCACACCCAGAAGGATTAAAACCAGGGAGGCAAACAGATGTTTGTGTGCCCGTGTTCATGACATTATTCACAGTGGCCAAAAGGTACTTGGCAACCCAAGTGCCCTTGACAGATGAATGGAGAGACAAAATGTGGTCCATACATACAGTGGGGTATTATTCAGCCTTAAAAAGGTGACGCATGCTGTAGCTCGCATGGACCTTGAGGACGTTATGCTAAAGCACATACCCACTTATCAACTGTGGCTGATTAAAAGTTTCCTTTAAAAAGAAAAGGTCATTTTGTTTGCTTGCTTTTTGTTTTACACTTAACAGGATCACTGTATAACGCTACTTCTTTCTGCTGCTGCATAAAAGAGATAAAGTTAGACCTCTCCAGGGCCTGAGCCTGTAGGGATTCCATTAGCTGTAGGTTGTATTTCAGAAGATGATGATGAGGAGGTCGTCATGGGAACGCCTCCGGAGTCTCTCTAGCTCTGGTCCTTCTGCCTTTGTGGTTTTTCCTCTAATATAGCTGCTGCTTAAGATGAACTGATCAACACACATATCTGAGGGCATCCGTGTGGCAGGCATAGAGTGGGCCCTTCACTCACATGATCTACAATCCTCAAAACAGGGTTGTGCAAGGAGGTCCCGTTCCCAACTTACGATGTAGAAATAGGCACAGGTAGTTAAAGAATCTGCCCCTAGTTAGAATGTCAGACACAGTTCATTTATTAACTATATCCCTGTCTTTCTTACCAGACCACACTGTTTAAAACAGCTTCTAACAGAATCGAGGGAGCTTGTTGGCATAGCAGAGGGGGGTGCTCGCCCTGTTGCCCTAACCACAGCTCATGCCCCTCTCCAGCTGTGTGCCTCCTGTACATCGGTTATCCCAGCCTTGCTAGTCCCAGAATGAGCCACAGCCTTTTCTACCTTTGAGCCTTATTTGTATTTTTACTGTTTAAAAAACCCCTCAACCCCCAGCCGGTTTGGCTCAGTGGATAGAGTATCGGCCTGAGGACCAAAGGGTCCCGGGTTCGATTTCAGTCAGGCACGTACCTCGGTTGCAGGCTCCTCCCCGGCCTGGGCCAGTCAAAGTACGTGCAGGAGGCAACCAATCGTGCAGGAGGCAACCAATGGATGTGTTTCTC